TTTCTTCATTACCCATTCAAGCCATCTCCAACTATTATTGGTCTGGATATAGGATGACATAAGAGGAATGGTTGAGGATTCTGTTAACATTAATGGCATAAATACCTGAACAATGACATCCACAAGCTAGGAGAAGGAAATACGTCTTGAGGGAGAGATGGTATATGGAATATGTTGCAAAGGTTCAAAAGGAGGATGGGAAAAGGCATAAAGGACTACATTGAGATCGAAATCAGGCAATTCAAAGGAACACGAAGGACACAGGATACAAAAGGAGCAGAAAAGGAGGGAAATAACAGGGGGAAGACAAAACCTTTTGAAACTTGGAGAAGGTATTTGATAATGCTACCCAATAGTTAGATACGGTCAAAATGGACAAGCCTTTGTCAAGCAACCAGGTGAAGAATTGGGAAGATGAGGAACAGAAGGGCGGGAAGGATGGAAACCATGTAGAAGAAACCAAAAGCAAAACGTAGACCACTGCCTTTGGTAAATTGACATGGAAAAAGGCCTTATGTATCGGGAAAGAAAAGATGCAACTCGTGGAGACAGTCCCTGGGCTGAGGCAAGGCTAATATAGAGCCACTATGAGAACTAAACATGGAGTGGCTTGGATTAGGGATAGAATTCTGGGGAGGAGTCAATAGGAGGTAAGCAATGATGTGAAGACCCCTCCAATCTTGACTGAATGCTTCCACCCCCAGAGCTAGTGGGTGTGGAATGATAGACTAAAATAAAGGAAGTTTGTTGTTTCAGTGGGTAGCAAAGACATAGATAGGAAGTGTCCCCAGCTGAGAACATGCCAACCAAAAGATCCGTGGATTGGGGGACCACTCCATGGGGAGAATCTTGTGAGGTCAAGATAACTGATCTGCAACCAGATTCAAGGCATTAGTTAACAACATGGTAAGCTAAGACCACAATGTGGTGAATGTGGGCCCAGAAAAGGATATCCAGGGTCTGAACGCACAAAGACCTAGATTGGGTACCCCCTTGCTTGGTGATACAAGTGACCATTGTGGAATTGTCAGAGTGTACCATAACCACCCTCCCCGCAGAATAGAAAGTAAGTGTGACCTAGCTTGATAAATTGCCATAAGTTCAAGAATTTTGATATAGAGAGAAGACTCCATGACAGACCAGAGACTGGAAATCTCCTGTAAGTTGAAATAAGCAACTCAACCTTCTAGAGATGCATCCGTGAAGAGATGTAAATCAGGATAAGGTGGAGGAAGAGGAATCCCTGCTGTGGTCTGGTCTCTGTCCTACCACCAGGCAAGGTCAGCCCTGATTGGGGTGGAAAGGGTAAAAGAGTGGTCCAAGGGATCCAAATTGAAGTTCCATTGGTCAAGGAGTATCCACTGATGGTAATGCATATAAGCTTCAAAGAATGTGCAAATCCCCAAAAGAGATAGAACCTCTCAAGCTGTTAGAGAATGTGAGGTGAGGGCCTTGTGCACTGCTTGCTCCATATCCCGAAGACAAAGAGGAGAAGGGAATTGAAGAAAACCCCCAAATGAACAAGGTATTGAGTGGGGGTAAGAATGGCTTTCTCCCCTTTTATCAGGAATCCCACCCATGCATCTTCGTTTAGAACCAGATAAATGTAGTCTTTGGTCTATGAAGGTGAAGAAGCAAACATGAACCAGTTTTCCATGTAATGATGAGTGCGAAGACCCACCGAGGGAAGATGGTGGGCAAAAATTTGTACTACCTGACAAAACATAAGGAGCCAAGGTTAGTCCATCGGTAGTGCCTGGAACTGAAACACTCAACTTTTGTGGACGAACAGAAAGAAGATCGGGATAGCTTTGTGTGAAAAGACATTTTTGAATTTACAGTTGAAAAAGAACAGAAAAAAAAACATTCTATTAGAAAGACAAACTTACTCTATGGCTTTGATGGTCAGTTTTCCTTGTATACCACTGGTCATTGCATGCTGATGAATCTGAAGTGCTGCCAGCCGTAGCACCAGATCATACTTCAGATCAGGGGCTAACCTCTCCTGGATCACATCATTACAACACTACAAAAAATGAAACATAAAAACAGAAATTTCAGTCAGGCAGATAGCAAACTACAAGCATGTACTAAAAGTAAATTGTGATATTTTCATTGTCAGCAGAGATTTAAGGCTTTGATTTTTCATTTTATCATTAAAACAATTTCTGAATATTTAGATATCATTAACTTTCAGAAAGGATAAAAGAAAGTGTGTCATAATTATAATCACTGTCACAAAACTATAAAAAGCCAGTGTCTTAGTTAGATGTTCATGTTCACTGTAAACAGTTAAATTTGTTGTCTTTGTTACTTTTCTCTGTTCGTACAGAATTATAAAAATCAGCACAAATGGGTAATCATTCACATTATGGCGTGTGTGAGTGGGGTGGGGATTAAGTTTGTTTCCTAGTTTATTTCATTAGTTATTGAAAGTCATAAAACATTACATTTAAAATATCATAGTTGCAGAAGAATCTGTATTATTAATAAAAAAATCAGTTAAAACTGATACATTAATCCTTCTTAATAAGACAAACTCCCTGTGTTTAAACTTTCTAAAGTAGCACAGATATAGATTTTTTTCTCATATATGTGCATACTAACTTAAAACATGCATCATCAATTTAAGTTAAAAAAAAAGGAAAACAGGTTTAGGAAAATGAGTTTAAAAAGCAAGTACATTTACTAAAAAATCCAAATTTTGATTCGTTGATAATAATCAACGTCATTTACACAACTTTTATGTTAAATTAAAGCACGATAATTAACACTTCCTTCTACAGTAGTTGATTTGTACATGAAGATAAAAAAGATGCTAATGAGGCCATGAACCCACAAGAGATAAGAATCCCAAGTTGGCAAATACTGTAATAGTATAATATCCATGTGTATATGAATAAAGTCATCTCTTAAAGCATCACCTACTTCTTTATAGATTTAAATATTTTGCTTCCATACCATAAAGACAGCAAATACTTATATGAGTTAAAACAAAAAAAAAAAAAATTATTAAAATTATGCATTTCTAGTTAAATAAGTATTTAAATGTCCCTTGAACAAAGGGATCTAACATTAACTATAATTAGACATTGAAAAATCTTACTTTTACATTCAACCATCTAAGGTAGCTAGTAACCTTAAAAGCTTTTCAGTTTTATTTCCATACAGCCATGCAAGACTAGTTCTTCTCAAATATATAAATATCTTTTATGCAGAAATGCACTTGATATTTAAATATCCCATTCCTTAAAGGCATCTGAAACAGTTTTTCATCTACTCTATTTTACTTCAAGATAGGCTGGGCAGGGCTTAGTGGTTAGCATGCTTAGCTGAAGATTGAAGAGTCCAAGGTTTGAGATGTGATACCAATGAACACACACCACACTTTCAGTTGCAGGCACATTATAAAAGTGAAAAAGCTCATGTAGCAGTAGAAACTTCTGACTGACTCAATTCCCTCTAATCAATAGTTCAAAATTAGGGCTGGCTTTACCTGAACCCTTGTGATCTCTGACTATGCAATTTCGCCAATGTGTGCATAACGTGACATTCAGATTTAACATTCCAATTCTCTTAACAGTATGTGATACCATTTCTCCTCTGAACACTTGACTCCAATATATGCATTTGAGATCAATTTTCCATATGAACAATTTAATATATTAATCGTTTAAAGACATATGACCCCACTTGTCCAAATGAGCATTTTATGTCCTTAAGTGCACTAGACACTAATTCTCCCTCTGTATTCAATATTTTCTTCCCTTATGGTTCCTCATCAAGACATTAAAATAATTTACATTCATATAAGCATGTATCAGTTCTTAACTTGAACATTTAAATATTTTACTTATATTTGTCATCTGGCACCAGCTCTCCACCTGAATATATTAATTTCTTATTCCTTTCAATTCATGCAACACCACTTCTTCAACTAATCATTTGAATATCTTACTCTCTTAAAAGCAGGTGACACTAGAAATGAAAATGAAAAAAAAATCTACATGTAAACATAAAAAAACGACAAAGTAACTCAAATAAGTTCCAGTATTCAGTACAGGTGAGTACTGGCAGAATTTCACCCCTGCATAAATTCTAGCACCAAACAAGCTACTTACCTGAATATAAAGATATTCAAAAGCAATAGGATCTTTCTGAAGGAGATCATATGCATCTATTGGGACAAATGTGGCTCTGAAAAGACATCTTAGGTGGTGTGCTCCAGGTCGTGCAGCAATCTGCGAGAACATTACAATACACAAGTGCAAATAGTACGATATCTAAACTATTATTTTATTGTCATTGTAAATTTCCTATAATTTAATATTTTTTTCACACCAAATAATACACATTTATACTCATGGACTTTATCATGAATTTACATTAGCTGCTATGAGACAAATCAACATACATTACTTTCTACATACAGAAAATGTAGAACATTTGCGGATGACAAAACTAAACTGTGTTGCATTGTGACTGCTGGGGACTAAAGAACTTAGAATCTGCACTTTTTTCTTCACCCTTTAGTTTAGTCTATAATAAATGCTCTTTTTCTTCAAGTAGAGTATTGCTTTTTCCAATTATAAAAGAAAATGTATGAAAAGATTCTATCTTATTTCATCTTATTCTTTTTCATATCAGGAAACAAATAACACAGGCCTGCAAATTTAAACAACATAAAAACTGTTTTGGTTTTAATAACGAATTTTCCATAATTTAGTTATGGAGATTTTGAACATAATATTCATTTTTTTCTATCACACAAGGATTTTTTTTACAAATCGGAAAGAAATAAAAACTTACTTAGATCAAATTATTATTTTGTTTACCAGAATGAACATTTT